GAGTTGTCCTTCTCCCCCCACCCCCTGTGAGTAACCCATTCTTCTGTTATGGTTTTAATATGCATTTGTAATTACCTTTACTAAATAGCATACCATAAAGCTTTGGTTATATATTAAATGTAAACTGAAAGGAATGTAAACATATGTATTGTTAATTATAAATAGATAAGTAATGGCATAATAGATACAAAGTCTTATTCAGATGTATCAGTCATTTTACATTATCCACAGATTGTCGCATGATAGAGTAGATTTTTGTCTGAATATGTGAATAACTTGACTTGCGTTTATCTTTTTACATATTTAATAAAAAAATATATGTTAAAATCTGTCAACTCTAGAGACTATTCGGAACATTCTAAAATAGTGCTTTGCTGGATTAAATAAATATTTTTGATCCATCAGGGACTGTATATGGGAGCAGGAAGAAAAAGGCAGCTGCTTTAAAACCCCAAAAGTTCACTTATCCTGTGTGTGTGGGCAGCATCTGTTTCCCCAAGAGCTCAGCAGTTGTATCCCCTTCTACAAATTGAAAAAGAAAGAACATCTATTTGTGTGCCTGTAAACAGCACATTCTTCTTTATGCTTTCAGGTTTCAGAGTACTAAATCTCTTGTGTATCAGTTTTGACACAACAGAAGCAAAACTGGCAGCAGCCAGGAGGTGAAGACAGTACTCCAGCAAGGGGACTGAAGGTCCCAGGGGACTTTCTTGCAGTGGTCAGGCATTCAGGGTTGAATCTTCAGCACAGTACCTGAAAGCCACCTACATTTTGGATTAAAGGGTTTTTTTGAAAGAAAAGGGGGAAACGTCATTGTAATTCTCACAGCTCTGATCTTTTGTAGTGCAAGCAATGTTGCTGCTCAATCTCCAGGGCTTTGACCCTTTCTGTGATGCACTGGTTGTGTGCCACCACCAGCCTGGGCCCTGCTGCTATCCACAGATATCCCTGGGGCTGAGGCTGAACCTCTGCTGAGCCTCACTCGGGGAAGGTTTCTGGTAGACGTGGGGGAAGGATGGAGCAGGGACCAGAGGAGCACATTTCCAACCAGGTGTTCAAGCTTAGGAGAACTGCTCTTGTTTAGTTTCTTTTCTTAAGACCAGGAGAGAGGTATGTCTTTGGGCTAGTGCAAATGTTCAAAAGCATAAAAAAAGTATGTATTAGCCAGCTGAACTAGATGAAAACTTTCTGCATAATGTTTAAAAAATTTGTTGTTAGACTGTTAGGTCATTTATATAGCACTATCTGACTTTGCAAAAACAAATCTGTGACCATATCACCCTAGGAACAAAGCCTCTTTATTCCTGTTCATTGAACCAGTTGCCATCTAAGATGGCTAACAATTCAATATATACACTGTGCAATACATGAGCTCTTTTTATACTCGTCTTCATAGAGATTGTAGTGCCAAGTTGCTTTAGAAAGGAAAAAAAATGTAAGTTATTTGCCATGATTTCACATAGAGGGTGAAAAAGCTGGCAGGAGCTTAATGTCCTTTGAAAGTGATGCTGTATTTCTCTTCAGAAAGATACAATTGCAGGCAGGTTGTGGTAGTTCAAGTTTTATAATTTCATTTAATGAATATTTCAAAATACTCCATTACAGTGCATCAAATAGTGCCACTTCTGTGACCCTTATTTCCAGCTGTTTCCTAAGTAAGTGCAAGACAGATGGAAGAGGGAAGCCTGTCCACAGAGTTTCTCCAGTACAACCACATTCAGTTTGGAGGTATTTTTGTTTGTTGTATTCTAATTCTTTTCTTGTCAGAACTTCCTCCAGATACTTGTGATGGAGAGGTTAAATACAAACTGCCTTTGTAAAGCAGGTGAGACTTTTGTGGCAGTGTATCTGGTGTGGGATGTACTTAAGGTCATCCAGTGTCGAGACTGCTGGGTGCATGCGGCAACATCAAACTTGCCATTCCCCCTCAAAACAGTCAGAGCTGCTTTTCTCCCCCACAGAATCACAGAATTGTTAGAGTTGGAAGGGACCAACTCCACTGCCAAGGCAAGGTTTTAGCAAACCTCATTAAAGAGCCTTCAGGCTTCTCTAAGAGAGTCTTTGGGCAGTTAGGCAGAGGCTCCACACTCGCTGGGCATCACGCAGGGTAGGGGCATGGCTACCACATCAGTGGGGAGAAAGGCTGGAAGAGGACTCTCGGAGCTGGACCGTAGTGGTGCAGAAGGGCACAGGAGCTTTCTTTCCCTGCAAGGCTTTTGGCAAACGCTCTGAATCAGCATCACCAGGATGACCTGTCCCCTCTGCCTAACTCAAACCCTAAGCTGCTTGAACTGTGACTCTAGTCTGATGTTCACTCCTGGGGTGGGAGCCTCAACACGCTCGGCTGATAGGCAGAACGTGCATACTTCAAACCATGGGAAACTTTCCAAGCTGGTGTGGTATTTCTGCCGTGTGAAGGGAAGCTGATGTGCAGGCTTGACCCCCTGTACCTGCAGTAAGGGCTGCCAGCAGAAATTAGCCCTGCTGATGTCATGATAGGCCAACTACTGTAACAGCTGGTACAAGCTGAACATGAAGCTGTTTGTATGGCTAGTCCTGCCCAGCTGAAAATACTCATGGGAGCTACTGATGGAAGAGTACGTTAACTGGGGGAAAAAATGGATCAGGCTAGTGATAAAGCCAGACAAATGGTCTAAGGACTGGAAAAGGTGAGCATAAGTCTCAGCCTCTCAACAACTACACTTGTGCTCAGCCTCTGCCAAGACAGCGATATAACAGTTAATAAACATGCCAGTCTGTCAATCACATCCTCCGTGCAAGAAATGTAATCTCATGCTTACCTTGGGGAAGTGGACAGATTGTTTCATTAGTGCTTCAAGGCCACAAAGACCCTCTGGCTAGGGCAGCATATGAAAAGAGATGAAACTCAAATTCTTACTCCTTCCTCCAAGGCACACAGAAAACCTACATGTATTATAGATGAAGTGAGCAGTTTACATCTGTATGCAGACATGTAACATTTTTTTAAAAAAAGCTGTCCTTGTCTCTTTTTGTCATTATCTAAAAGCCTCAAGAATTTGTTTCAAGCACACAGCAGATAAATGTTTTGTTCAGCATTTTGCACTTGCAGATGATGTTTGACTAAAACTAGTTTTGCAGTGAAATATGTGAATCTTCAAAGGTTTGCTGGCCAAATTTATTTTCAGCTGGTTGCCTTTGTAGGGTATAT